AAAAATAGGCTAACCCCAAAATGGAACCCTGGTAAATGGAACCAAGGACTAAAACCTGCGGTTTAATTTTGACCCATACCCATTTGTTGGGGGAGCATGGCTGGGGTGGGGGAGCCAAGGCTCGTTGCTAGAATATTTTTGCTTTAGACCTATACCAGTGCTGCTCTTGTTTGCTGTGTTGTTATCTTGGCTTCCTTTCCCGGAGAAAAAACAAGAGTTTTGTTATTTTGGTTTCCCCTCAAAAGCTGCCTCCATTCCCGGCAAACAAGCAAGACTTGTGCAAGCGAACACCCCTGGGGCAAGTGATGGTCTACCAAGTGATGGTTCCCGGTTTTTACCAGCTGAGCCATTGCCTTGCTTAAGGGTTGAAGCTATGAGCAAAAAAGCAATGGGGAATGGGAGCCTCGATGTGCCCAGAAACCCGGCGCAACGGGGGTGACACGGAACCGCCTGTGATGTGTTTGTGGTGGAGGAGCATGGCTACTTCTGGGTAGGGATCAGGAGGGTGCTTGGGAGGGAATGAAGATCTACCCAAATTGCTTGAACAAACACAAAGAAAACGCAAATTCAAAAGGCCACAACCTCCCCACCTCTTCCATGAACTGATCACGCCCAACCTCCCGACAAACTCACATCCGATAGAACTGACACAATGAGAGTGGATTCGGAACAAATCTCACCAACATGTGGGCAAAGTGCAATTTTATATGAGCAAACATCAGGCAAGGAGCCATACCGGCATACTGTGGATGCACAAAATCCATTTCGCACCACTTGGAAACCAAGGTAAACCAGTGTTTGTTGGTATGTGCTGGAGAATCGAATGCTTCCAGGGTTTCTTAGCTGGTGCGCTATCGACTTCGTCCATCCACAGTATCCATCTCTCCTAGGTCCCCCAGTAGTGCCCTGTCTCACCCTCTTTTTTGGGGGAGGGTTCCTCTACCGAAATAGACTACAGAAAAAAGGGTACCCTTGTTCTAACCTCTCTACTAGTCTCATTTCAGTTCACCTCTGGTGATGTCCGATCAGCCTGCAGCTAGCTCAGGAAGTTGGCCCCAAAGAAAGTCCTCGGCCTGCAGTTTCGCCGCGGCTTGCAAAGCCAGCTGCTGCACTGGAACTTGCTGACACCGGAGATTTGTTGGGCCAGGGTTCGAGAGTTATGATTCGTGCAGGTGACACTACCTTCCATTTGCTTAAGAATATGTGTTTATTTTAGGTTTGCTCAAGATGGTGTTTGCCCCTTTGCTGGTGTTGAAGGGAATCTATCACTGGATTGTTGTGTTTATTTGATTCCATGAAACTTAAGCAAATTTGAGCTTCCTATACTTGCGACCTGGGCAACATAGAAAAAACACGCTCGTCACTCCAGCTTACTGGTCCCACTCCTCGTTGGGCAATGCATGTGTTGCATGCGTTTGGTCAATGAAGTGGTCTTTGCTTGAGCATTTTTCTGGTCAATGCACGGGCTTGGTGCTGATCAAGTTGGGTTGCACGAGCATGTTCCTGGTCAAGTAAGCGGTGCCTGGTCAAAAATGTGGCGCGTTCCTATTTGGGTTGCATGCGCATGTTCCAGGTGAAGAGAGTGGCGTGTTCCTAATGGGTTGCATAAGCACGTTCCGGTCAAGTAAGTGGCACGTTTTTCCGTGTTTTTGCTCGAGTTTTTGGTCAAGCAAGTGGCTCTGTGGAGGATCCATCAATTTGAGATGCGCCCCATGCTAAATAGTGCAGTTCGAAAAATTATCCAGGCCAATCATTGCGCACCCCGAACCCATGTTCCCAACGTTGAGCCAACACTCCGTTGCTTAGAAGGGATCCTGATTTTTTTTGGGACCGTAGGAGCACTTCAAACAGCTGCAGCTGCAAAACCAGATGCGGCTTCTGGAGGGCGCGGTCTGGGCAGCGCTGTGGCGTTCCGGCGCCGCTGGTAGCGGCGCGCGGCGCGGGGTGCCGAAGGTGCGGCGGGGCCGGGTGGAGCGCTGCACGGAGGACGGGGGGAGGGTCCATGTGCATACTAGTGGGTGGGGAGGGGAAGGGTAGCGAAATGTAACTTTCGCGCGCTATCCCATTCCAGTACTGTATTCAAAAGTTAGGCCCCTGGAGCAGCCAAAAAAAGGGCCTTGGGGAGGGGGGGAACAAAGGGTTGGCGCCCTTCTACCCAGAGTAAAGGGCAACTGGGGTGGAGTGGAATTGTGGCTTTGCCCTACATCGAAACACCCTTGGCTGCCATTTGATGGGAGGGAATGACTAACCTTACTAGGACCACTCGTCAAGTGCTAGCTGTTGGCGGGTGCTGTGTGGGTTCCCAGACCACGGTTCACTGCACAATTACGGGTTGATCCAAGCCTGCCAGTGCATTGGCTGCATTGCCTCACCATGCGCAGGAATCAGGATTAAAATCAAGACGAGGAAAGGTCACCGGCGGTGACACCGATTTTCAACGGGTTGCTTGGCCAGTTGGATCAGGGCATGTTTTTCAGTGCTCATGTTTGCGCGCTGTGGAAGGGCTGATGTCCCAGCTGATGACCCTAGAGCTTCGAAGTCGGGAAGGGAATGCGTCTGGCTTCCAAATTAACACCCTAAACCCTAACAGCGACCCTTTGGCCCTTTGGGTCGAAAAACCGAGTCCCAACAAACGGCGGCCGAACGAGTTGCTGGCAGGAAGCTCTTTGCCTGCGGGAGGAGGGCGCGCAAGGCCTCCTGGGAGCCAGCTGCTCAGAGTTCTACGCGCGCCTGACGGCGCAGGAGACAATTTTCCCGACGGCGAGAAGTCGGTTTGGTGGCCTCTTGGTCTAGGTCCCCCAGCTAGGTGCCCTTTCTCACCCCTTTTTTGGTTGGGAGGGGTGCCCTACTAAAATAGACTGCAGAAAAAAAAGGGCTCCCTAATTCTAACCTCTGCACTGGAGGACCTAGTTGCTGCGGGGCGGCTGCTTTTTTGGCCCTGCTGCGCGTTGGAGAGAAGAAAGTTCAACAGAGGGGTCACTCTCTTTCTTGGCATGGTCCTGCAAGGTTGGAAACTCCTGGTTGGGGAGAGACCTTACAGGGAGTAGGTTGGAAGGTACCGGAAGTGGTCATGAATCTTGTTCAAGCTTGGCTCATTGGAGAAAATCCATGACGCGTTCTGACCAACATGAGATGAGCGTGATCTATCCACGCCGCCGATCTCTCAAACCAAATTTGCTAGGGCCACAACGTAGGCTTCAGTCGCATCGCAAGAGGTTTCATAGTCTTAAACGGCAGTTCTTTCACCTGTGGCTTTTGCACGAGCCAAGTTCGGCGGGATGGCTGTCAGCCGAAGGCAATGGTTTGATTTGGGTGTCTTAAAATCGGGGACCCCAAAATGGGAGCGTTCCCTTTGGTTTCCCTTGAAAGCAACCCCCAAAAAAGATACCCTGAAAGCAAGCCACGCCATCTTTTTTTTGTTTTTCTTTCTCGCTCGGTGCGCAGTGTGGGCGCGAAGCGCGAGAAAGCGGCCGTGCGCCCAGGAGTTCCATGTGGTATGGCTACCGGGCGGGGCCTCTGAAGCCCTGGGCACCCCGGCGGCGTGGCATCACGAGCTGGGGTGCTTGCTGCAGATGGAGAGCCCCGAGGCCTCCGAGGCTGGAAGGTTGGGGCCGATGTGGCATGAGTCGTTTGGGGAAACCGGCGAGAAGTGAGAGCAACTCCTTGTACCCCGATCTGAAGGATCCAATGTTGAAGCGTGCGGTTCTGACCTCTCCAGGCTTTCTGTTCAGGAGCTGTGGCGCCTTGATGCTCGTCCAGAAGCTGCAAATTCTGAATGGGAGCATAGGGCAGGTCCAATTTCCCGCTTTCATGAACTTGATTTGCTGCACTTGCCACTTGCCGAGTTTTCTGGGGTTCCCCTCAAAGGCGCCTTAATTGTCATCAGGATCAAGAGGGATGCCATGCCAAGCGTTCTTCCCCTGGGTCGCACCTTGCGAGGCGCCGCGCGCCGGCCTCAAGCGCAAGGCGCCCGCGGCCGAGCCCAGGGCGCCGTTGGCCCGTCGCACGGCGCGCCGCGCCGGCCGCGGCGAAGGCGCCGGGCCCCGCGTCCTCCGCGCCGCGCGCGGCGGAGGCGAAGGCGCCGAGGGAGCCGAAGGCGCCGCGCGGCAGCTTCCTGAAGCTTCTGGTGGACTCCTCCCGGCGGTTTGTTTCTGCGAAGATGACTTCCATTTGCTGAGATTGACCTTTGTTTTTGTTTTACTTCCCCCTGCTGGTTTTGAAGGGAATCTATCCCTACTGGAAATTTATGTGTTTATTTTTCCGGTGGACTTCAGCAAATGGAAGATGATGAACACCGGGGCAGAAAAGGGGCGGCTGGCTGGTTGGACAGGTCGGACACCGGGCAGGCGATGATTCACGGGCAAAGAAGTCCAACGAAATTAGAGGCGAAACCTTTTCCACCGCATGGGAACCTGTCTGTGGATTTTCCGCCTTTTGTACCCTTTTGGTACCCAAATCTAAGAGACCCTCTGCTGGGTTTGATGTTAGTCGGCGTTGGAGCTGCAGTTGGACAGGGTGGGTTGGAATGCAGCAAACCGAGGGGCCTAAAACCGGATTTCCTCCATGGTTTCGCAGCAGCTTTTCGAAGTGGATGTCAAAACGCCGGTCTGGTTACTGTCAACTACTTCACGCATAGTCATTTTGATGGCGCTATGGTTCGTTTTGAGCGATTTTTTTTCGGAGGACCTGATAAACCGGTCCTCCCCACCTTCCAAAGCAAGGGACTCCAAAATCCGATTTGGCAGTCTCACGAGTTGGGCGCTTCAAAACATGACCTGTTCCACCAAACCAAAAGGGGGGTTGGTAAAAAAGGTGACTGCCAGGTACAAAATATAAATTACCACCCCCCCAACGTCCAGACAAATTAATTAAGGGGATGGTGGTCTAAATGAAAAAGCCGTTACCCTCCCCTGGACTCCTGTTCAACATGCAACCCACCAGCGGATCCCTCACGAGAAAATCGCCAAGCTCGCCAGAGGGGTCAGGCGCTGGCGTCCGAGGCCCGCATGGACTCTGGCGCGCCTCGCCCGGCGCTCTGGGGCGTGTCCCTGGTGCGACGGCCAACGGGCGCAACGGGCGCGACGGAGCCGGGGAAAGCAAACCGGGCCCTCGTCCCCGTTAAAGGTCACCGACAGGCATCCCCCCAGTATGTCTCACAGTTGTGTTGCGGACTTTATACTTTTTGGGAAGACCATTTTAGTGGCAGATGAACAGATAAAGCTTTGTTTGGCCCTTTTCACCCAAGAAGCGGGAAGTTGGGTCACTGCACTATGTGTTGGAGCAAGTGTTTGCCCAATCTAGTAGTTTCAGATCGACTTGTCCAAAGTGACGATTCCTCTCAGCATAGTTCTCGAGGCACCGAAGTTTCGCAATACCTTGCCAAGTCTCCCTCACAAAATTGCTGCATTTGTTGTGAATCAGGAAAATGCTCATTCGAACCAAAGTTCCATGTTGAATTGACAAGGGGGAAACGCGGACACGGGTATTTGCCTTTCTGGCCTTTTAACCCAGATGTCGGAGGGTTCGGCACTCCAAGAACAGTTGGCATAGGCAGCCAGCCCTTGTTCGGATGTATAGGTTTGCTTGGTGGGATCTGATATGCACTGGGGAGGAGACAATGGAAGAGGGCAAGATCCAGGGGTTCCTGCAGGCTGCCAAGCTGGTCACGTCGCAGGATGTGGTGGAAAGAGGGCAAGGCGTCGCCAGGGTGAGCTTGTGGGAGAGCACGTGGGAGTGTAGGGTTCCACTTTTTGACTACCCCCAAGGGTTTCTCCTTTTTCGGGGAGATGAACCACCCCTGGGTTCAAGTCTACCTTGGGGGAATCCAAAAGTGGAACCCCGAGAAAATGTGACCCTGAGATAGTGGGGGGGGGGTCCACCCCACGAACTCCGGAATGAGCAAGCCCCATAACTGTTCAGTGGGGCATAGGCGAGAGTCCGCATGGGTTCTTTGAGTAGCCGCGCAGAGCAGCAGCTTATTTACCGGCCAATCTTCTAAAGCATCAGTTGCAGTATTCACTGTGGTACTCATCAGTCTTTAAGCAGCCCTTGTTGCTTGCGCCGCAAACACGGCGGCGATCACATACTATCTCCTTGACAGGTGCGGCTTGCCAGAGTCTTTGCCTCTTCAGACTTCTCTTTTGCAGGGGTTATCAAGAACCCCTCCAAATCCCATGAGCGTCCCCCACGTCTCGTGTGCTGAGGGAGCCAAAGAAGCGAGTTTAATGGCTCGTTCTGTGAAGCCAGGCAGGGACAAGCTCAGACCTGGATTTGTGGAGGAATTGAACTTCTTTTTGATAACATGGCACCCGCCAGAGTGTCCTCCAGCACCTTCCAGTCGAATTCCATGGCAGTGGGTGACAGGGTACATTGGGAGACCTTTGCCCTTGGATGCATTCCAAAACGGGGTATCCTCCCTGCCAGTGCAGGGTTCTGTTTGTTGCTGGTTCCCAAAGTTCTGGACAATTCTTGTTTTGAGAGGCAGACATTGGTCCTCACATCAGTTTTTGGCTGGCATAATCTACTGTAAGCTGCATGCTGGCAAGGAAGGTATCAGGTAACCCTGAATTGATGGTTTGGGATTTGAACCCCCCCTTCACACCACCAAACCACCGATCCGGCTCCAAACCACCAATCAGAGGGAGGCTGAAGTTACATCCCTCATTTCCTGACTTCATGGACTTTTGTACTTTTTGGCAAGACCATTTTTTGTTGTTTTGTTTGTCAAAAAATGGTGCTGGCTTTTTTCGGGCCAGTCCACTTGGTGTAAATAAGCAGTTCAGACCTTTTGTGGCCAGCCCACTTGATCGGATTTTTGAGATCACCCATGGCTTGCCAGGCTGGACCATGGTGGTGGCGCAGCTCCAGGCCTGCGACGCGCTCCAAAGCTTTCACCAGGGCCTCTTCGCCGCTACAGGCGGGGCTTCGGGGCCTGGGGGGCTGGGGGGCGGGAAGGGGCAGCGGCGCAAGAACCTGGCGAAAGCGGTTTTGCCGGAAGAGTCGGGCTTTGGGGGGGGCCGAGAAGACCGAAACACATGGGTCGAATGTTGGGTTTCCTTGAATCTTGCTTTGCCTTCGCTTTGGTGTCCCTTCCGCGAACACCAAATGTCTGCAATTTGTTTGCCAGGTTCTTTGGAGAGCAACCTTGAAAGAGGTGTTTTTGTTTAAGGGATCCCAGAAAAGAGCATCATTTTATGGTTCGCCCGTTTTGGAGACAAAGCCACAAAATCAGGATGCTGATGATTCCCCCCTTTCCCCTGCAAGTCAAACCAGAAGGGGATGGAAAATGATTTCTGTAAGTGTTGAGACTGTCCATGGGGGCAGTCCACATGAGTTCCATGACTAGCTCACTTGGAGCAGAAACTCGCTCGCTGGAAGAAGTTACTTTGTTCACACCTGGCTTGCTACAGGGTCATCCGGGGCTGACACACGCAGTGCACCTCGGAGGTTCCATGACCAGATGGGTTGTTTCAAGAAATAGGTGAGTTTACCTCACAAAGTTGGGGCCCCCAAACGGATTTGAGGTAGCCACGGGGCAGCTTGAGCGGACATGGTGGTAGCTGGGGGCCTTCATCAGTTCACTTCCTGAGTTCCTGGACTTCAAGCTTTTCGGGAAGACCATTTTAGCGGCAAAGGTTAAAAGTTCGGACTATTCTTTTTGGCCAATGAACTCAGGAAGTGAGTCAAAACGGTTGATGTCCTCCTTTCCTGGTGAGTTTTTTGTGTTGCCATTGCCCGCCCAGGCCTCAGCGGCGGCATCAACGCGTACCTGACTCCGCCAGGCACAGGGCACCTCTTCCCACTCGCACTTCCCAAAAGGGATCCCCAAATTCGCTCGATGAGATCCACTAAGCAGGTGCCCCTTTCGAAAGTGCAGGGTGCAAGAAAACCTGTCTCGGTGTTTGATTTTTTCCCAAAAGGACCCTGGAGCTCTTGTGGATCATGCGCCGAGTTCAGACCGTGGCAGGTGCAATTGGGAAGCCTCCACATGTCGATGACCACGACGTGCTTGTCTTGCGCCTGGCTGGCTGATTTTGCGTCCTGCGCAGTCAGGGAGGTGGGCCAGTGGGGTGACTCACAAAATCTGCATGGCAGCAAGTGCCATGAAGGCAAATCTGGTTATATACTACCTTTGGGCTGTTGCCCTTACTAGCGCGCGCGCGCGCGCGGGTGTGTGTGTGTGTGTGTGTGTGTGTGTGTGTGTGTGTGTGTGTGTGTGTGTGTGTGTGTGTGTGTGTGTGTGTGTGTGTGTGTGTGTGTGTGTGTGTGTGTGTGTGTGTGTGTGTGTGTGTGTGTGTGTGTGTGTGTGTGTGGTGTGTGTGCGTGTGTGTGTGTGTGTGTGTGCGTGTGTGTGTGCGTGTGCGTGTGCGTGTGCGTGTGCGTGTGCGTGTGCGTGTGCGTGTGCGTGTGCGTGTGCGTGTGCGTGTGCGTGTGCGTGTGCGTGTGCGTGTGCGTGTGCGTGTGCGTGTGCGTGTGCGTGTGCGTGTGCGTGTGTGTGTGTGTGTGCGTGCTTCGAAGATCCTTTAGTGGTGGCTTGTTGGCGCAATCCAGTCATCGGAGATGTTTGTAGGCGTGGGGGGAAAGAGCACTTGCCGCAGCCCCCCACCGGCACGGATTTCAGGATGCTCGCATAGATTCATGTTGACCACAAAATTGCCGGCATGTCTGTCGTTATCCCATGTTTGTGTTGATGTCATCCAGCCAACTCGTGACTGAGATTGATCCTTACAAACCGAGGCAACAACTGGCATGCATCCTTGGAGTTGTTCCCCCGCGGAACTGTTTGTGGATGGGCATTCGCACTTGCAACCACGTCTTTGGGGAGCAGCCAGGTTCTGCCAATGTCAAGCTGTTCAAGACGGACTGAAGACGGTGAACCGAAAAGAGGGGCCCTGTTTCCCATGGCTAATGACAAAGGCTGAGGATGCGCGCGCGCTCCCTCTCTCTGGCACGCTCTCGTTCTCTTCTCTCCTTGCTTAAATTCAAGGGCCGAAGAAACATGAATAGCCAACAATTGCGAGTGACCTACTGTTCCCTATGTCATACGAGAGGGTAATCCCGATTGAGATCCTGAAGTCACCCGAACATGTGCCATTTGCGGGACATTTGAGGTTTGAAAGGTTCCTTCAGTGTGGCTTTAAACGCTTTGAGCGCCCCACTCCCAACAGCGTCTAGTAATGTTGACCCCATACTAATCAACCCCAGTTCGCTAATCGGGGGGTGTCACTGGGTTTAGTGGGGAATCATCACTTTTGGAGGGCCCCCCACTCCCCTACGGAAAAAGAAGGAAACACAGCAGTGGGGTTGATTAATTATGGGTCAGCATTAGATAGACGACCCGGCCCAAGGTCCATTTGGCTCGGTCGTAGCAGACGTTGACCAAGGCAGCTGAGCGGCTCGAAGCGCTGGACCCTTGAGGACGGGAAGGCCGCGCAGGTGACGCTGCAGACGGGGGATGTGCTGTACCTGCCGCAAGGCGGAGGGGTGTTCTCGCTGGTCAGCAGGGTTGTGGGATGACAAGGGGTTTATCCAATTCGGTGATACAAGGGAATCCTTTCTTTATATGGGGGCTAGTCTTTGTTGTATCACAGAAGTGGTCATTTTCCACAGCCCTGGGCATGAGGGAATGCTTTGACTACAGCTCCCAGAGGATCCATGTTTTAGTATTGTAGGCAACCACGAACCACGGGAACCACCCTTTAGAAGCCAAGAGGTAAATATTTGGTTAAATAGTATGTGGGTAACTGGGATGTACTGGGGCTGGCAAACAAGGCTTACTGCCTGGCCAACGGGTATCAAGAAAGCTTAAACTTGTTGGACAAGTTTTGTCACTCCCAGACTCCAAGGAGCTTGGTTAATGTTCGTGTTGCTGCGTTTCGTCGCTGCTTGTTCGCAGTGTTGGGGAACTGCGGATTCGAAATACCCGGCTTTCGGCCTTTGAGCTAGTGATCCGTTGGTCCATTGCGGGGAGGCAGGCGGGGCAAGATAGAGTGTATGCTTGCGTGCAATCTTTGTGTCACTCCTAGCCTTGAGTTGATTGGATTGATCACTTGCTCGGTGCTTGGCACACATTGGGAAGATGTTGGGAGAAGCCCCTATAATATGCCGCCGGCATGCCGGTCACGCATGCCACCCTACTCAACATAGTGGACATGCGGGAGCACAAGCGCTGCCCACTGTTTGGCTTACCTGCCGATGAGGTGGCAGGAGCATCCTTGAATAGAAGCTTGCTTGGTCCTGAAAACCGAAAGATTTCAGACCACAAAAAAGGAGCCCGGGGGTTCTTCAAAAGTGGCCAAGCGAACTGCAGGAGAGCCAGGAAGGTGGGCAAGTTTTGTCAGAGAGCGTGCTGGAGTTTGGGACAGGTTTGGCGTGGCTCTCGAAGCATTTCTCGCAACCAAATAGTCCTGCACATCATCCCCAACTTGATCAGCTGCTCGCATCCGTCAACGTGGACTTCAAAAGCACATGCTTTCCAAGTGGCCTTGCTGCGGATAAAATCGTGCTTTGGCTCTCATAGTTAATGTTTCATTTTTGATGGTGCAGAGCAAAGGCCCTGGCAAGTCTGGCAAACACCCCTTGCGGATGGCGCAACACAACAACAACCATATAGTTTGCTCACCTCAATAAACATGAATGAGAACTGACAAAACCTCAAAGAACAGCTAAAGATAACTAGCCACAGTAACCCGCAATCGGATCTGCCAATCCCTGGCAGGTCTGCCGCACCATGCTGCAGCACAGGAGGACCCTTTGCCCTCGCTGCACCTGGCGGTGGGTTTGCATCGCCAGCCCATGGCCGCCTGCAGCGTGCTGGGGGCGCTGGTGACGTTGCGGGGCCGCGACGCTCGGGCCGAAGAAGGGAACCCAGCCCCAGGGAGGGGGGGGGGGGAGGGGGGATCTTCCCTCAAATGCAACCAGGGATTTGACGACGTGTTCCAAGGCCTGCCTGGTAGGGGTCCTACAGTATTAAAGCCTTTGTTTTTCCCATTGGTGTTGAGAGCGAGGTGTCAACCAAAGCCCAACTTTCCGCAACAGAACAGTTGAACTGTTGTTCTGAGTTTTGGCTCAGTCAGCTGGTGGCTTGTCCAACAGGATTCCCCACAACATGTTGGTTTGAGCAACCACTCAGTTGGGGCTCGACACCTAGTTTGGGTTTTGGGACCCGTTTCGGTATCATTTGTGCCGCACTTAAATGAGGGCTGCGTCCCACAAAGGGCTATCATGTTAAGCGAGCCCCAGTTGGCAGGAGGGTGTTGCAGTTTTGTTGGGCTGCATGTGGCCTTGGCAGCAGGGCCTGTCATGACGGCACTCATTTCCTTTCACTGCAGTTGCTTGCCGGTGCTCAGCAGGGAATGAGTTAGAATGACCCTTACAAATCATCCAACTGGTGGTTTCCTTTTTCCTCGAATCCCTTTCCTGTTCATTCCCACATTCCCTACACATCGCACCAGCAAGACTTTGTGCACTTCCGCCGGTTTCCATCAACACTGTCTCCCCACGAGTGAGAGGAGTTCTTGTGCATGGTGAGGTTTGGTCCTAGCAGATCATTTATGCCGGAAGCAGTTCCCAAGACCGGGTGAAATAAATAGGACGTCGCCTGTGCGGATTGACTCCCGTTTATTCCAACTTTTGCTGAGCGCCTTCTAGTGAATGCATGCAGGCTGGCTGTTCAATTTGAGCTATCAGTAAAATATCACTTGGTCGGCATGCTCTGTCCTACTTTCATGTTGGCCTTCTTGACGCCTGGGGAGGAACAGTGACGGAGAATCATCAATTCCCGGTGCATCGTGGTTTGGAGGTGTGGGGGGGTCGGATTGCCCCAATGACAATCAACCTCCAGGGTTCCCATGTGCCATCTTTACTTCCCAAATCCTTGGATTCCAGAAGTGTCCTTCACCAGGCGTGCCTGATAGAAGGCTGCAACCTCAAAACTTAAGAGATCAACTTCTGGCGCTGTGATTGTAGCGAGTGTTGGAACCAGACCGGGAATCCAAGTTCGCTTTGAGCGAGAGCGCGTTGAAAGCCTCAGTTCTTCAAGCCACGCTTCTGACCTTTTGGCTTTCCATGTTTGGTCCGGTTTCCAGTTTGCGGTCCCAACAGGCGAACCTATTTCCAGGTCCGAACTGGGCAAGTGACACGTTCCATTTGCGGCCATGACAGAAGAAAGACACCATTGCAGACGAGCCGGTGGTTCGGACCGTGTCGAGGGGTTTCCAGCTTCAAAATGCAGGGCTCAGAGACTGTGACTTTCCGGGCGGTAGCCTATCCGTGACCTGTGACCATTCGACGTTGCAAATCCGAGGGCCCCGTTTGCGGCGATGTGTTGCCAGTGGCTGGGCCGCATTCTATCGATGTGGACCGACTTCGAACTTATAGAAGCCGGAACTGTCCGGACTTCTTGGACAAAACATGTACACATGGCTGGTGGGCAAAGCTACATCAGCTCTCATTCGGTCATATCAAAGTCGCATGCGAGCGTGTGTGCTTGTGTGTGTGTGTGTGTGTGTGTGTGTGTGTGTGTGTGTGTGTGTGTGTGTGTGTGTGTGTGTGTGTGTGTGTGTGTGTGTGTGTGTGTGTGTGTGTGTGTGTGTGTGTGTGTGTTTGTGTTTGTGTTTGTGTTTGTGTTTGTGTTTGTGTTTGTGTTTGTGTTTGTGTTTGTGTTTGTGTTTGTGTTTGTGTTTGTGTTTGTGTTTGTGTTGTGTTTGTGTTTGTGTTTGTGTTTGTGTTTGTGTTTGTGTTTGTGTTTGTGTTTGTGTTTGTGTTTGTGTTTGTGTTTGTGTTTGTGTTTGTGTTTGTGTTTGTGTTTGTGTGTGTTTGTGTTTGTGTTTGTGTTTGTGTTTGTGTTTGTGTTTGTGTTTGTGTTTGTGTTTGTGTTTGTGTTTGTGTTTGTGTTTGTGTTTGTGTTTGTGTGTTTGTGTTTGTGTTTGTTTGTGTTTGTGTTTGTGTTTGTGTTTGTGTTTGTGTTTGTGTTTGTGTTTGTGTTTGTGTTTGTGTTTGTGTTTGTGTTTGTGTTTGTGTTTGTGTTTGTGTTTGTGTTTGTGTTTGTGTTTGTGTTTGTGTTTGTGTTTGTGTTTGTGTTTGTGTTTGTGTTTGTGTTTGTGTTTGTGTTTGTGTTTGTGTTTGTGTTTGTGTTTGTGTTTGTGTTTGTGTTTGTGTTTGTGTTTGTGTTTGTGTTTGTGTTTGTGTTTGTGTTTGTGTTTGTGTTTGTGTGTGTGTCCTAGTGTGCGAGTGTGCGAGTGTGCGAGTGCCTCAGTGCTTTGTTTTTGTTTTGTGTGGGCGTGCGTGTGTTGGTTGGTGTGTTGGTTGTTGGCGTGTTTCTGTATTAGAGAGCGCTGGTTTCGTCCATACTAGGTGTCTGTAGTTACACTACCCTGTAGTGTGCTGTTACTGCGTTATCTAGTTGCTGTTGGTTATGTGGAGTGGAGTGTTAGAGGTTACATTTCTGACTCCTTTCTCAGCGAATCGTGTGGCCTTTTGGGGGCTCGATGCAGTTTTCTTGGCAGCGAGCGCAGTCCAGCCAGTCACAAGAGCACCAGGAGCGGCAAAGTAGGAGGTCAGGGGCGACTTCAACAGATTCGTTTTGCCCGGTGAAATCTCTGATGAATGCCGGTCGCGCCAGCAATTTCCCAATGAAATGTTCGCTAGACTTCCCATGTGCTATGCATCTCCCGTTCGAAGCGGCAGACACAAAGCTTCGCAGGCATCGTTGGTGGAGGAGATGGAGACGAGGAGCGCCAGCTTCGGCGCCTTCGCTTCTGGGCGACGGCACTGGCTGCAGCAGCTGCTGTCGATGCACCTGCCATTGGCACGGCGCCCAGTGGATTCGGCCAAACGGGGCCGCGGCAGCGAGCTTGTTGGGGGGGCTGGTCAAAATGGGTGCTACTTGCTTGGTATCCCCAGGTGGCATACGGGGGCCCAGGTTCGGCAACACGCGCGGCGAGGTTGTTGGGGGGGTTGTAAGAAGTAATTAGGGGGGCACTGTTTGGTATCCACTTTCAAAGGCGGCACATGGCGGCATGAGGGTCAAAAACACGGGGCCATAGTTTTGACCACTCTTCTGTTGTTGCTTGTGCCTTGGTGGTTCCTTCTTTCGGGTGTTTTGGAGCTTCCGAAGAACGGATGTGATTTGGCGACGGGGGCTGGGGCTGGTGATTGGTTGCTCCTATTCTGGAGCAAGTTAACTTTCAAGCACGCTTGGTTGCCACAGGGAAACTGACTGCAGGTTCCTGGGCCACAATTTTCCGCGACAAAGAGAATCTCTGACGCACTTTGCTGAGGGCAGAGGTGTCACCTCACTCTCCTAATCTGTCATTTGCTGAAATGATTTGTTTTATTTTTCCCTCTGTTGATTTTAATGGGAACCTCTCACTGGACATGTTTTCATTATTTCCCAGGGGACGAAGAAGCAGATGGATGCCCCCAGCAAGCCACGTGCCTAGGGGCGTGAGCCGAGGTGTGCGCCTTGGAGCCTCAGAACTTGGAAGCAGGCGGGGGGTTCGCGCGGATACCGAAAGGCCGTGGCTTCAGGTTTGGGCTGAAGTTTCACCCCTTTGGGCCAGAAGCAAGAAAATCGTTGGTTTCGAGATATATAGAGAAGTAAATAAATCAATCAATAAGTAAATAAATATATATATATATAGTATATCTATTTGTGTTGTACCTGCGGGTGGGGGGCTTCAGAGCCTGGAACATGAAGGAATGCCAAAAGGCATTGGTTTCTTCCATTCCTGCTTGCACTGCACCATCTGGGGCAATTCACCGCTTTTGAGCAAGAGCTGCCGGATTATGTGATCAACCGTCAAAAAGGGTCTGCTTTGTGGCTATTTGGTTGGATCTTTGGACTAACTCTCTGGACACAATGGAGTTTTCATTGGATCCACAAACACTTTAACGTTTTGCAGAGGGGTCAACAGCAACCAAAAGGAAGTTGCGACAGAAAAAGACACCCATTTCAGTGGTTGATCTGAACTCCCATCATCCGCTTGGGAAAACCTAGGCAGCAATCCATCACGTGTCGTCGTGTTTTGTTTGTCTATGTGAACCGAGGCACCCCAGGTGGACGTGCTGGTTGGCACTTGGGAAACAGAGCCCAGGTGTTTGGATCCCTGAGCAAGGTACCAAGCGACTTCCAAAGGATTGTTGGTATCCACAGGGGAATCATCATTCCGGGTTTCTTAGGTGGTGCAGGATTTCGTCCATCCACAGTATGTTGACAAATACCCGGGTAGCTTCAAAGTGAATGCTTATTCCTTATGCCAGATAATGGCTTCTCCTTTCTGTCCTACGGAATGTGGACCAGGATTAGGCATCCTCCCGTTTTGAAAAACTCAGATCGTAGGCGGCCAGTTGTTTGAAGGGTCGTTCCCTACTGAAAAACCAAATTCGGAACCCAGGCAAATTGAACTTAGATTCTCATTTGTCGCCAGTGTATCCGTTTCCTACTTAAAAACCGAAATTGGAACCCAGGTAAATTGAACAATAAGACGCTCACTTATTACCAGTGTATCCGTTTCCTACTGAAAATCCGAGAATGAAACCCAGGCGAATTGAACAAAAAGCTCAATGTTCTTACCAGTGGCAAATGGAATAACAACACTCACTTATCACCTGTGTATCCCTTCCCTGCTCAGTTGGAACGCATGCAAATTGAACAATAAGATGCTCAATTTTCTCACCAGTAACAAATAAAAAAAACAATACACCAACCCAGTGCTTCCAGTTCCCACTATAGTCCCACTATAGTAGGCAAGCCTTCGGGATCCTTACCTCTAGGTTTTCCCACGGATGGTTTTTCCTGGGCAAGCCTATAGCGGCCATAGGTGTCGTTTTTAGATGTTTTTAGGTGAGCCTGGTTAACTGGTTTCGGGTTTGTTCCATTCACCAGGAAAACCCGTCTATTTTTCCAGGGCTCCTCAAAAGATACATTTCGCCCATTTGAAACATGGCTTCTTCCACCAAAATTTTAAGAAATGGAAACCACCATTTACAAGTTGCAATGTTAGGTGTATGCATCCGGATCCCGGTTTTCCCAACGGCCTGCGGCGAAACGGTGGTCCGTGGGGTCCGCACACGGGGCGCACGGAGGTGTCTTGGACCAGCTGGCGCAGGAGCTCCGCGGCCGCTGCCGGGAGCTCGCTGTCCTCATCCGAGGCGCGGGGGAGGGGCGTGAAGCCGAGGGTTTGACAAAGAAAAGTCGGGCTGGAAGCTGAAGGCTTCCATGTGCTGAAATGAATATATGAATATATTTTATTTTTTGTTAAGTTTTCCCCTGTTGGTCTTCAAGGGAATCTATCACTACTGGATTTTTTTATTTGTTGTTCAGAGGGCGCAAGCAAATGGAGGAATTGGTAGCTAAAACAGATGGGTTGTTTATTGCTTTCTTGGAGGTTTAGCAATTTCTTGTGTGCTTTGTTGTTGCCCTTTGGTGGTGAAGCCAAATTTTGGGTTGGACTTGTTTGGAGCATGGAATTCATGCGAAGCTGACTCAATGTCCAAACATGTCCAATCTTCCGGAAGGAAACTAAAAGGGGGTGGATTGCATATTTTTGCAGACCTATTGAGCACCCAGCAGTCAGGTGCCCTTTCCAACTCTGAGGATCCTTCTAACTTTAATAGCTGGAGTTCCTTGTGAAGAGGTGTTAGGTGGGTACTTGGTATTGCTAGTCAAATGCGCCATTTCCTGGTGTTTCGCTCGTCATTGAGAAGGAGGGATGAGTACATGCTCAGCTTCCCTCACTTGGAAGTCCTGCGAATACAAGTTGCCCTTCCTAAAGTGAATGCACGTGCAAGGTGCGGGTTGAGCAACATGTACTTCTCGGTGTGCAATTTCACATGCGCAATTACGTATGCATTCATGCTTGCACAAAGCTAAATGTGTATAAGTAATTAGGTACCGGTCAGCTGTTGCATTTATATATGTTTAGCTGTAGTGGGAAACACGCAGTGTGAAATTTACAATGAGTGTTCATGCATTGGTGGGCTGGTGGTTCATATCAGAATTCCACATCTTACTGCCTTTTTGGGCTCAAGATGGGGAAGAATTTCTGATTCCAGGCGGCATGTCGACCGCGCTGGTGGTGTGGGAACCGCCACCATCTTCCCATCTTTCGGTGGTTGGACTTGGACTTTGTCTGCAATAGGGCTTGCGATTCGCTATGGATCCGGATGCAACCACAGCTGCAGGACTGACTAACATCGTTTTAGTGGCACAGTGGAGTGGCATGGAAGGACTTCGGAATGATCCTGACACCATTCGTGGATCGTTGTTTCGACTTTTTGGCCTGCACGGCCGAGCCTCCACGAGTGTTAGCCATTCTGCCGCACGATGCTGTGCAGACCCTATTGCAGACTTGGCGCATTCCTGCTGCCGCACCAGCTGCAGCCCAACCTCCGACTATGGCCCAACTCGGTCAAGCTGGAATCCTGTTCAGGACATGCAGATTTCTATGTGGCACCCTGCCAGACCAGCTTGCTGCTCGCAATCCTCCACAAGCACCACAGCTTCCACCTGCACCTCCAGGTGCCAGAAAGGTGAAAATGTCACAAGTCATCAATCAGGTAGATGATGAGGAGGTGGACTTCCTTGATGCCAATAAAGCCAATGAGGCGTACAAGGCCTACAAGAAGCAGTTGGGAGGTTTCCCTCCTGACGATGAGGAGCTGAGCTCAGAACAGCTCTCAACCCTGGCAGCATTTACAAGTCAGGTAGAGCACCCTACACCGACCTGGCCATTTGGGGTCCATTCCAACATCGACTCCAAAGGAAGATCAAGCTGAAGGGGCTCAGGTTCAGCTCCACCGGCGATTTCATTCCAATCGAACTGTATGGTCCTGCAGACTTCGAAGCATGGCGACAGTGCTACATGGTTTTTCGAACGGGGTCCATCATGCTGGAAGAGATCACCCCATCGAAGCTGGACGCCTACGAGAAGGTCATCAGGCAATTCCATGAGAGGTATGGAAAAATCTGCTGGCCCATCATTTATCAAGCCGATGTCCGTGCAAGGCTTGAGCAAACTGAGCGGGTCAGACGCAGAGGGCAAGAGGCCTACGAAAATGCACGTGCTGCAGGACTCGGTCACAACTACAATCCCGACACACCTGGGGAGTGGGTCTGGAAGGAGCTTGCTGATGATTTCATTTTCTGGAATAAGGAAGTGGTCGAACCTTGCATGCTCTACTTGGCAAAGTCTGCGAACCTTCCACAACTGGTTTCCGATGACGCTCCCATTGACAAGTCATCGAGCATCCATCCTCCACCCCCACCGTCAGGAACTTCGAGACCAGCCACTTCCTCAACACCAAGCAGGGCCGTAAAACGCCAGCGTGGCCCTGACGTGAGAGAACACTTGGTGGGGGAGGATGGAATGTACACTCACAACAGGAAGGGGATTGAGCTTTGCAAACTATACCAGACCGGAGAATGCACTGAGAAGGACAGGTTTGGGAACTGCAGTCGCAACAGTTCTCGAAAGCACCAGTGCGCCAAATGCCTCTCGGAGAACCATGGATCAGCGAAGTGCCCTGTTGACGGTCCCAAGCCACCTCGTGTCAACCATTCACGAGGGAAAGGCAAGGGGAAGAGCAAGAAGTGACAGATCGAGGGGCAATCAGTGCATGTGAATTCTGCAGAACGAATGAAGACCGGCACAGCACAGTCTGGTTTGAAAATCGCTGCGAAACAAACTACAGGCTGCTCATCGACCAGCACATATGATGCTGGTAGTCGGGCCGCATTGCATGAGAATGGTGGATGCAAACGCATTTTACATTTGTTCAGTGGTCCCTCTGACCGACCGGATAGCTTTGCTAATGCCGTGAGGGCTCTTGGATCTTGCTGCACAGAATTCGACATCGTCAATTGCGACGAACAGAACTTGGCCAATGACGCTGTTTGGCAGAGGGTCATTTCCGACATTCGAGCGGGTGTCTATGATGGGATGCTTGCTGGACCTCCTTGCAACACCTACACTAACGCCAGAAAAAATGACGACCGCGGGCCACCCCCGCCAAGAGGCCCATCTGGCGATGACCGTTATGGACTGGCTAACTTGTCTTTGAACAACAAGGACAAGGTAAAGTTGGGCACTTTGCTCGCAGCCAGGACAGCCGAAGCAGCGCATGAGTTTTGTATGCAGGAGAAGCCCTTCATCATCGAACAGCCAAAGTGGAAGCAGGACAGCAAGAGTGTGTCAATGTATAATTTGGATGAGTTTTCCGCTTTGTTGGAGCAGGCCGGCGTTTCTTTGATTGAACTTTCGCAATGCAAGTTTGGGGCGAAGACCACTAAGCCCACCACACTCGTTGCCCTTGGACTGTCTGAACACAATCTCAACATTGAATGCGACCATCCATCACAACATTGGCGGAAGCCCAGCACTGGTGAACATTACTGGGGTGCGCATCCTCCGCTTGTTGGTAAGGAATGGTACGTGCCTGCGTCGGATTGGCATTCGGACATGTTGAAAACCCCGGCACAGATTTGCCACGAGTTCAAAGATCAACCATTTTTGACATCTGCGGCACAGGCATATCCAGGAGAGCTGAATGAAGCCTTAGCTAAGGCGCTCATCACATCCAGCACCATGGTGGCACCTTCGGCGGTGGAAAAGGACGCCTTTACCCTATGTGGTCGCTGGAACAATGTGTTGGTTCGGAAAGCGGATTTTCTGGAATCCACGGTTCGAAGCAATGTGGAATTCACCGTCCCCCTCAAAGGGCTGCGTAAGAGGCCATTAGATAGAGACACCTTTGAGGAGCAGTTTTGGGGCGGCATGAGGAATCCCAAGGCAATCTCGCAGGCCCTACCAAAGTACAGGACAGAGGGACAGCGGCTCTATGCTGTGTTGCAACGCTTCTCGGTTGAGTATCCGGATGCCATCCGTACAGGTGCCTCGCTGCGATTGGGTCGGAGGAAGCAAATGCCGGACCAACGGATGAGCAGATACTGGCACTACGTTCAACCTTGCTGAAATGGTTTCCTTTGCAGGGTGATGTGAAGATGCAGGCGCTGGACACACAGCTTCAGGCGGGGCTTCTGTGGACGATCGCACGTAGCTTTGGTGATCCTGACGCTGACACAATACATACCTGGCTCACAGATGGTGCACCTGCAGGCATCTCGCAACCAATTTTGGATCCGGGATGCATCTTTCCGCCTGATGAGCCGACTTCGACCTTGCAGGATCACCAGCTGCCGGATCCTCTGCTGCACTTTAACTATGCCACAGTGGATGAAGACGAGGCCGCAGCAGACGAGGTTGATCGACTCGTCAGCACGGGCTTCGTCAAGGAGTTTGGATCTCTGGCCGAATGAAGCGAGTGGGCGGGAGGCACTCCCCACCTGTCAAAACTGGGCATGATCACCAAAGAAAAGGATGGCCACATCAAGCGCAGGCTCATACTGGACTGCAAGGAGAGCAAGGTCAATCAAAAGGCTGGCAATGGTGGTAACCTGCTGTTACCACGAACTACAGATGCGATTGATGATGCACTATTTTTGATGAATCAGTGCAGCTCCGGTGAAACCATCGAGTGGTTTGTTCTGGATTTCACCGACTGGTTTTACAATGTGCCGCTGCACCCTTCGGAGCGTAAGCATTTCACCTGGTCTTATAAACGGCGTTGGGTGGCCTTCCTGACGCAAGCACAGGGCAGCAAGAACGCACCTTTGGTCTGCGGCCGAGTGGCGGCGTTAGTTGCTCGCATCACGCAAGCGGTTTTTGGAGCTTCCTTTGTGCGCCTTCAGCTGTATGTCGATGATCCTCTACTATGTTTGCGTGGAACTGATCGGCTGCGTGAGACGCACATGGCGTTCACAATTCTGCTCTGGGCGGCTTTTTGCATTCGACTGGCTTACAAGAAAGCTTCGCGTGGGACCAGGATTGTTTGGATCGGAGCCGAATTGGAAGCATCCTGCCAGAACACTTCCAAGGCCAATGTCACTGCAAGGGCCAAGCAAGAAATTGTTGACGAAATAAGACAGTCGACACTTCTGCATGCCGAGACAAATGTGCTGTCAAAGAAGCAACTTCAGTCTTACGTGGGCAAGCTGAACCACTTGGCAGGGCTGGTGGAAGTGTTGAGGCCCTTCATGTCCGATCTCTATGGAGTGCTCCACGGCACGACTGACTCCAAGGCACCCAGAGGAT